GGAAATGGCTCAACAGTCACATGCTCTTAATCAAAATAGCAAAAGCTTAAGAAAGCAATTCAATCTTACCAAAGAAGCAGCTTGTCAAATAGTTAGATGATGTGGGGTATGTCCAAAATATTTTCCGATCCCTCACTTAGGGGTAAACCTTTGAAGTCTTCTTCCCAATCATCTATGGCGAATGGATGGTACACATATTGCAGAATTTGGCAAATTAAGATATGTACATGTGACCACTGACACTTATTCGGGATTTTTAAAGGCTAGTGCACAACCTAGGGAAGCTACAAAACATGTAATTATGTACTGCTTGAAGTGTTTTTCATATATGGGTATACCAAAAATTATTAAAACTGATAATGGTTCTGGATATAGTAGTAAGGTATTTCAACAATTTTGTACCCATTGGGAAATCTTACATAAAACAGGTATTCCTTATAATCCTCAGGGACAAGGTATTGTAGAAAGGGCTCATAGCATTCTTAAAATACAACTTCAAAAAATAAAAGGAAGAAATTTACCCTCAATCTCCACACAATTCATTAAATCACGCTCTTTTTTTCTGAACTTTTTGAATACGGATGTCTATGAACAGTCTGCCACAGATAGATTTTGGCACAGTGGCACCCAAGTGACTTTTGCTCAAGTGAAGTGGAAAGATTCCCTGCTTGGGATTATTGAAGGGTCCCGATCCTGTTTTAATATGGGGTCGAGGACATGTTTTTGTTTTTTCACAAGAGGAGAATGAAGCTCGGTGGTTATCAGAGCATCTGGTAAGGAGCGTGGAACTAAGGAAGGTCAGCTCCAATTACATTCCTATAAAGGAACCAGAATGAAAGTGGCTCAATTAGTATTTCTGAGGTTTTGTCACTGGTTAATGCAAACAATGAGGAAATAGTTTGGAGCTATGCTGCTTTCGGCTTTACTAGCTCCTTTAGAAAAATACTTTATATCACCTAATAGCTGTGCAGTATTTGGCCAAGAGCTTTACAGCAGCTAAATACGGTAATTTCACCCTCAGCGTGAAGTGAAGTTTTTCGGTAGAACAAACCAAAAGTACTGCTGTAATAGAAACGTTTGTCTGAATTGAAGCACTTAGGGGAGCTATTATGAATGTGGGAGAAGGGACAGCCTCTAGTTAAAAACCGTTTACCGCTGACAGTGCATCTTTGCCGGTCCGGAATGGCTGAGAGAACTCGGCAACTTTGGGTTGTGGCTTCATCCTGAGGATGTTACAGTCCCCTAGCAACAAGTATCACAATTCTATAACAACAACACTCACTAAATCCCAGTGTTATAGCAAAGCTGACTATAAACTCTAAACTTTAGAAATGATGCACATACTTCCTGTCTAGTTAAGAGAATCTTTCTAATAGATATAGTGATAATAATTAAGAGTAAGAAGTAGAAAAAGATGAAAATAAGATATGTGAGTTTGTAGAAATTATTCTCTTGTTAGATCTGTTAAGAAATCTTTGAGTGTTTGCTAAATTTAATGTATGCTAATGGTAGCCCTATATAAGTTTGTAAAATAGATCTATAGAGTTCCTTCAAGAATATAAGCTTGCAAGAAGAATCTAAGGTAATCCTAAGACATGTAGTAATAAGCTTGTAAGATGCTAGTTGTAAATGTAAGTTTAAAAAAGAAATAAGAAGATGGAATGAATATAAGAAATATATGAGAAGTAATAAGAAATATTTTGCTAAAGTAGTTCTGTAGTTCCCTTAAAGAGTATAAATAAGTAGATGTTAATGTTATAAGTGAATTTGTAAAAAAAAAATGTAAATTTTAAGTGTGAATCTATTCTTAATGTATATGGTGAAAGAACCCGAGACACAGAAGGTAGTGTCTGGTAGACTGCAAAGCAGGCAGTCTGAATGGTTTCAAAAGCTCCAGAAGCCACTAAGAAGCTAAGAATGGCGGACACCAGAACCAGCACAATGAGGCATCCGCAGCTGAGATCCATGAAAAATCAACACAACACAGAAAAATCTGAGCTAACATAAAAAACGGTGTGGTTTAGAATACTACTGTACCTAAAAAGGTCTCTGGCTTGAGAATAAAAGTTGCAGAGATGCTTGTTTGAACTAAAATTGTTAACTGCAAAAAGTTTTGGTTGTGAACTGTTTCTTCATATTTGGAACTGAAAGTCTGATACCAGAATTTACTTTTTTGAACTTTTTGAACTCAAAATAAGATAAAACTACAGAAAGAT